CCCCCCAACCCAATCCCACTACCACTCACCCTATGGTCACCCGGTCCAAAGTCGGCATATCCAAGCCCAAACATATCCTTAACCTTAACTCCATGGCCCAAATTTCCCCACTCCCACTCACCTATCGTAGTGCACTAAAGGATCAAAACTGGTACAATGCTATGTGTGATGAATTTAATGCCTTGATTAAAAACGAAACATGGGAATTAGTACCCCCCTCCCCCTCACAAAATATTATCACTGGCAAGTGGATTTTTCGCCACAAATTTGGTCCTACAGGTGAATTGTCCAGGTACAAAGCTCGATGGGTGGTCCGTGGATTTAATCAGCGCTATGGCATCGACTACGACGAGACATTTAGTCCTGTTGTTAAACCAGCCACGGTTCGGATTGTTCTCACTCTTGCTTTATCTCGCGGCTTGCCGATTCATCAGCTAGATGTCAAGAATGCTTTTCTGAATGGTACACTCAATGAGACAGTCTATGCCTGCCAGCCTTCAGGTTTTCAGGATCCCGCTCATCCACATTTTGTGTGCAGGTTGAAGAAGGCTCTATATGGGCTCAAGCAGGCCCCGCGTTCTTGGTATCATCGGTTTGCAGGTTTCCTTCTCACTTTGGGCTTTCGGGGCTGCAAAAGTGACACGTCCCTATTTGTGTACTCTCATGGTTCTGACATGGCTTATCTTCTTCTTTATGTGGACGACATAGTTCTCACAGCCTCTTCCACTGCTCCTCTCACCCGCCTTACTCAGAAACTTAAGGGAGAGTTCGCCATGACAGATATGGGGGACCTCAATTTTTTCCTTGGGATCAATGTTCAGCGCACTGGCGGCGGCCTCTTTGTTCACCAGACACAGTTTGCTCATGAAATCCTGGAACGTGCTGACATGCTCCACTGCAAGCCCATCTCTACGCCAGTCGACACCAAAGCAAAGCTGTCAGCCACGTCCGGAACTCCACTTCCGGACCCCTCCATATACAGATCCATCGTCGGCGCCTTATAGTATCTTACTTTCACTCGGCCTGATCTTACTTATGCAGTCCAGCAGCTCTGCCTACATCTTCATGCCCCCCGCAGCACCCATCTCACAGCTATGAAGAGGGTTATACGTTACATTCATGGGACTGCCACTCATGGCATCACAATTCACCGTACGGGCACAGATTCTTTGCAGGCCTACTCCGATGCTCATTGGACTGGATGCCCCGATACTCGTCGCTCCACCTCGGGGTACTGTGTCTTCCTTGGAGACAACCTCATCTCATGGTCCTCCAAGCGCCAGGCCACCACCTCCCGCTCCAGTGCTGAGGCCGAGTATCGTTCCGTGGCAAACACCGTAGCTGAGGCAAGCTGGGTCCGAAATCTTCTCCTTGAGCTTCAACAACCCCTGCGGCGTGCCACATTAGTCTTTTGCGACAACGTCAATGCTGTTTATCTGTCATCAAACCCAGTACAGCATCAGCGCACCAAACACGTAGAAGTCGACATCCACTTTGTCAGAGACAAGGTTGCCCTAGGACATGTCAGAGTATTACATGTCCCCTCCTCTTCTCAGGATGCAGATATTTTCACTAAAGGGCTTCCATCTCTTCTCTTCTCCGACTTCAGACATAGTCTTGGCGTCCGTCCTTCGCCGGTCATGTAGTTGGGTGCATGTTAAATATGTTAAGTATATATTTAATATGAATTATGTGATTATTGTAATTATGGTAGTTTACATGTATAGGTTTCCTTACGTAATTAGGAATCCTCTGTAACTATTTATACGAGGCTTCTCCCTCATTATTTCTCAATAGAAAATAATAATTCTTCACCCCCTACTATCTAATTCTTTTGTAGCCAAAAGAACTTTGATAGTGATGGGAAATAATACGTGGCTCAGCCCACATTTCCCAATTATTTACGAAGAACCGTCAAACCGGGCCTGTTTAATAAAATGGAGGAATAATAGAATATTCCTCCGTAGATGCTCCAGCTACTCCTATAAAAGGAGGGCTCCCCCTCAATGTTAAAGGATGCCTCTCTCCTCTCTCTCCCCTGTCATATATTATTTCTCTCTAGAAAGTTGTTAGAGTATACATTTTTCTTCTTCTTCAAGGGCTTCTAGCTCCACCATTAATGGCTTCCTAGCCTAATTCATGTACCGTGTACACACCCTCGATATTAATAAAAATCCCCCGTTGGCAAGGTACCGCCAAAAAAGGCTCGTGGTTTTCTCCCGATTTGGATTACCACGTAAAAATCCTCGTGTTTATATTTTGGTGTATTTTTTAGACTAGTTAATCGTTTTTGCCCGGCTAAAAACGATATACCGATCGATAATTTACACCATCATTTTGGCGCCACCCGTGGGACCCGAACAAAAAGCTCCATTTTTGTTCGTCCATCTTGCACAACCTAAAGAGTCATAGTTGCAAAAAAAAAAAAAAAAAAAAAGGGAGACAGGCTTTGGAGTGTCAAAAAGAAAAAAGCTAGAAAGAGGAAGAAATTGCTAAATTATTGCTTTTGAAACACTTAACATGTGTTCTAGCTACTTTTGAAGTTTCAGCTACAAACGCGTAAGATGAGATAAGGATTAGGTCCTACTATAAAAAATGAGAAACTGGAGCAATCCTTGCTTTTCAGGCAGGATATCCGCATCATCACCTTCCTCCTCTGGATCTTCCTTGCTGTTATCGTCCTCGCGCTCATCTCCCGCCTCACTGCCGTTTATACCTCCCTGCGAGAACATCTCTCGCACGACGAAATAGTAGATCTGAGATTGGAACCGGGAGTTGTCCACGGCATCAGGGACAGTCAACCATGGAAGGGCAGGCTGCGGGAGTGCCGCACCACCAAAAAGTTGGCCGAGTGGACCTAGGCGTTGCAGCTCCAACACACATTCTCTTGATCGGACTCGCAATTTAGCCATATCGTGTCTTTGCTCCGCGTGCAGGTCTTCATCTTCTCCGTCTGCTACACTGAAATGTCCATTGCCACCGTCACTAAGGTCTGTCATCACCATCACAATTGCCTATGGCGTCATTGATTGACCCCCATGTGCGAGCTATATTATTTGGATTTTCTCCTCCATCAAAATTAAGGGAAGATTAGAGCAAAAGATTGGATGGAACGGCTGAACAGGGCATGCATGTGCAAACATTGACAAAAGAAAAAGGGGGAAAGGGAGATGTAAAAGCACCTGTACAAGAGGAAAAGAGGCAATAACTCCAAGACAAAAAAAAGGATATCAATAATCAGGATATTGAGGAGGAAACAAATATGACAGCTCCACTTTCATTATTTCCTTTTGGAAGGGAGCCCACTAATGTCAAATTGAAGTGTGTACATTGCACAAGACCACGGAACAAATTAGTGGAAGTCCTGTTGATTTCAGTTGATGTATTGGTTTTTCAACCATTCTCAAGGGAAGACTGAGACACAGGCCCGGACCTGGCACGCTGGTTATTACACCGGTCTTGCTCAGTATAAAATAAAAAATAATAAACCCGGAAGAGGGGCCCCGGAAGAGAGGTATGCCTGCAAGAGGGTTGGACCTGGAAGAAGGTTCGAACCGTACTTACACGAGCCCATGAGGTTTGACCGGTATCGGGGAATCACCCGAGACTGGAAAACTGATTGGGGACTAAAAGATACCCATTAAAAGAAATAGAAGAGGGTCGTCCACCGTGATGCATCCTATTCCGACCGGTTCGGATTCCCCCTTCTCAGGGAAGACTTGAACGAGGGGGTGAGCTAAGGCCTTCCCGGGATAGTACATCAAAGGGCCATTAAAAGACTTAATCACCCGGAAGAGGGGGCCCTGGAAGAAGGGTGCATTTTGGGCCTTGGAGAGGGCTCGAAACCATTCGACATGGTTAATTCTCCAATGTTGATCTGGCCCGGCCAGCAGCATTATATTAGAGGAAGACTGAGACACAGGCCTGGCCTGGCACGCTGGTTACTACACCGGTCTTGCTTAGTATAATAAAGAAAATATGTGACCCAGTCGAACTGGTACACTGGTCTCACACTGGTCTTACACATATTTTCTAATGAGCTTGAACCCAATCGAATTGGGTACACCGATCGTACATTGGTTTCAGCTAAAAAGTGAGCTGAGCTCATATCGGGGACGCCCGATTCATTTAAGCCCTCAATATGAGGCACTTTGATCGAAGATGGTCTCCGCGAGGCATGAAGATATTTACATCAGTCAGCCGGGCTAACACTAATCTTCAACAAAGCTGCCGCATCGTATTCAAATTCTTATTAACTAGCGTCGTTGTCGTCAGTATACTAATTTCGTCACGCATCGTTTGCTTGACTCGTATTAACACCGACCTCGACGAAATAACTACTTGAAGCACCGCTGCTTCATCGTACTAACTCCGGTGTCGTATAACTATTCGAAGTATCGTTACTTTATCGAACTGACATCACTCTCGTTACGATAGTTATTCACGCGAATTTTAATCACCTAACACCGGGCTCCTCGGTAAACATAATAATTTTTTGAGCACGGCATAGGCCGGTGAAAAAAATGTTGTACATCTTATTTTTTGCAGGAAAAACTTCTGATTCAAGAAATTAGAGAATTAATGAAGACTTGGAGGACTAGCAACAATATCAACCCGCCAAGAATCCAAAGTACGAAGACTGAAGATAGCACTCGGAGGACTTATTTACTTTTTAAGTTGATGATTCTCACAATTTAAAAAAGTGGAGGACTTCTTGATGGGAAATAATACGTCTCTCAGCTAGGGGTGAGCAAATTATCCGGACCGACCGTTAAACCGAAAACCGAAAACCGGATTAACCGCTAAATCGGTTTCGGTTTCGGTTTCGGTTTTACATTATTAAAAATTCGGTTTGTTCGGGTACTTCGGTTCGGTGTCGGTTTTGAGCATCGGTTTATTCGGTTAACCGAATAACCGATATATATATATATTCTAATTATTTAATATGAATTTTTAAAAGTCCAATAGGAAGTCGGCCCAATAGCAAAGCCCACTCAATTATCTAAAACCAATTTGGAGTTGCCGGTTGTGTTCCTCAACGCGATTGGGATTGGGATTCCAATCTTAGGTTTTGGTCGCTACTCCGCGTCTCCACCTACTCTACTCGCGATTCCCGTCTTCAAAAGCTTCTGCCTTTGCGTTCTAATTGGGATCGAGTCCAAGCCTATGCGATTCAGCCTTCTTCAATGAGAATTCAAGACGGCGACACCCACGCTGCAATCCTTCTTTAATTCTTTGTCCTTCCCTTCGAGTAAGGTTATATCCCAATTTGTGCTCCATATTTAAATTT